ATAATAATAATAATAATTGCATTTACAAAACGTATATCCATGCCCTCCACCATGCTCTATGTGCTTTACAACTATTATTTCTGTAAGGTTATTTGAGAGGCAGAACCTCCTAATTTAAGCCCATCTCCGATAAGATTAAACCAAATTGCAACATTATTTGGGGGTTTTTTTATATGTACCGGGGTACTCTTCTCAAGGACAGAACGTTGGACCGATCTCAGCCTCGATTCCTAGGACCCACTACCTCACGATTTCGTGCCGGTAGTTTTAACCACTAGACTACCGACGCCACCAGGCAATACCGGAAGCGTAATAGAAAACAAAATAACAGACAATAATACGTGTTGTTATTCTGAGTGAAAGAGATTTTGAGCAAACAAACAAACAAACAAACCAACAGGCAGATAGACAAACCTAGCAACCAAACTGTAGACAGCAACAAGAACGGAGACACCCGCAGAAAGAGGTCAGGTCATGCGTACAGACAGGGCACTTGTAAGGTGAGAAGTGACAAATTGAGACGACCGTGTACACCCAATGAAACAGACACGCAGGTAGATAGACAAAAAGAAAGACAAACTGACAAAGAAATGCCATCACAGGATAGAGTTCAGGAGAGGCAGGGTTATACAAATAAATAGATAGATAGATAGATAGATAGATAGATAGATAGATAGATAGATAGATAGATAGATAGATAGATAGATAGATAGATTCCTGTCTGGTAAAAGGCGGGATTCTATCAGCAAAAACAATTACTGTGTCAAGTTAGTAGGGAATGTGACGCCATCAACATAACGGGGGGGGGGTCTGTTTTTAAATTTGACTGTATCAACAGAGACAGTTTAGTTTTAGTAAGTGTTTTACAGCACTTACAACACAAGAAGGTCATTTAAGTGCCGAAGATTAGTGTTAAAAAGAAAGTACCAAACTCAAAAAAGGAGAGATAAGGACGATAGATGTTTGATAGGAAAGAAGAAGCAAACTACACAAGAGCACCAACCAACCACCCACTATCAACAGAGAGTTACTATGTCTCGTAAGGGGTGTGACTTTTTCAACAGAGACTGTGTTGGGTGGGTCGATAGAGGGGATAATATGCAAGGAGAGAGAGAGAGAGAGAGAGAGAGAGAGAGAGACAGACAGACAGACAGACAGACAGACAGACAGACAGACAGACAGACAG